AGAGATTGATTGCCACTTTGTGAGGGAGAAGGTCCTTACTGGAGACATAAGCACAGAACATGTGGGCTCAGGTAATCAGTGGGCAGATTTGTTTACAAAAGGCTTAAGCTTAGGGAGAGTGAACTATATATGTAACAAGCTGGGATTATATGGCATATATTCTCCAGCTTGAGGGGGAGTGTTAGAGCTAGCCAAATAAGGGTAGATTAGTTAATTGATTTCTGTTAAGTTATGTGCTTATGTGGCAGTCTTTATAGAGACTTCCTGTCCCATACTTAAGTGGGAGCAGTTTAGTCTTTATACTACTAATTAGAGCCTAATCATTATTAAGGGTCGGCTAATAGGGTTTAACCTATTATGTTTGACTGTTCTTTCATCTTCTTCTTCTTCTTCTTCTTCTTCTTCTTCTTCTCCTCCTCCTCTTCTACTGGTTCGGACTACTGTAGCAATAGAGAAAACAGGTTAGAAAGTAAGTCTGGGTGGTATGTAAGGTGAGGTCTCTAGATGGAGAGTTGGGCGACAAGTGTTGGGTCGGTTTGTTGTTCAATTTAGTTTTTTTGGGATGGGAGTGGTGTGGTTGAGGTTTGTTAGGGCAGGTTTTGTCTTTTCTTCTATTTGTGGTGATTTCTTATCACCGTTTGTATTTCTTTCTTTCTTATCTCTTAATATTTTTTTTTCTTTATTTATCTTAAAAAAAAACAGTACCTCTTGTAATGTGCTAATGCTCCAAGTAGATTTCAAGCAGTGATTTAAAAAGGTGCGCCTGGGCAAGGCACATTTTATGGTATGCACCTCGCCTAGCCCCCATGTGCAATACTTTCAGAATGTGTGCACTTGGTGTGCCTTGCACTTCAGCCTAGGCATGCGCCTTTTGAAAATTTGCATCTTTTTTATTTTTGTTCTATTTTTTTATGCCTAGTGAATAGGGGCTAGGTGGGCCCCACATTTGTTAATGTTGCTCATTCATCATCTTAGTAAAAGATATTTTGAAAAGAAAATTAAAGTTTTAACAAGGTTCAAAGTATCGTATCAGAGCCTTCCTGATACACCCCTCCAGGGGGTGTTTCGGGTCGACAAGTGGTTCAGGGGGTAGACCGGCCCCTCTGAACCAGATTCGAAAAGAAATAAAAAAAAAACAACAAAAGAGTACCAATACTGGCTGATACACCCTACCGGCGTATCGACCAATATCGATACTTTGAACCTTGAGTTTTAAAATATTTTTTTATAAGCGTTATTATTGTGCCTTGAATTCATTGTGGTGACCCACTTCATGAATCCGCTTTGAATTAATTTGAAAAAACTTGAAGGCAAAATTTCATAGTGGCTTGTGGTGGAAGCATAGTCCACCATAAATCACCATTGGAGCCCTGCCCCCGTGGTGGTATGGACCTGATCCATATTGAGCTTATGGGTCCTAACTGAATACAAAGAGTTATGTATTTCGGGGGTTTTCTCTCTTGTATACTTGGTCTTTTGTCTTGTGAGAGAAGTGAGAGACTTGGGTGTATTTGGGGTTTAGGGTTTTTCTATGAGTGAGGTTGTGAATGCACAACTTTGTATTCATCTCCATTACAGATTACATAGTGGATTTCTGCTCCTCTTTCGCCCGTGGACGTAGGCTATAAGCTGAACCACGTAAATCTGTGTCCTCTTTGTTTTCTTTTCTTTATATCTGTTTTTTCTTTCGTTTTTGGGTGCCATTGCCATTTGAATTTGTATTTCTAGGGTTTACGATACAATACGGATTAAGAATTTAAGACCATGATATGAACTTGTTTGGGCTTGCCTCAAGGGGCTGGGTACAAAGGCAGTTCATAGAATTAGGAATGCATAATGTTTAACATCACATTAGCTATTTGAAGTAATGCAATTGGGAAAAGTATAAAGAGATTGATTTTTTTGGTATTATGTTTAATATATATATATATATAATTTTAATTTTTTGTTATTAATTTTTTTGGCATTTTTGAAAATTTAGCATTTTTTTTGCATTTTTGCACCATGCTTCGAAAAAGTGTGTTCCTTGCGTTGCACCCTGCGCCTTGGGTACAAAATTCCCCCTTTTGTTTGTTTTTTGTGCCTTAACACTTTTAAAACACTGATTTCAACAGAAGATGCTTGTACCTACTACTCTCAGACAATGTGTCTTGAGAAAACATGCATCAAAACAAGGTACCAAGACTTTGATTTTCCATGCTTTGCTTTAAATTTCTTATTTTTACTGTAAGGGCCATTACCCAATGCTGGCCCTGACTAGTTGGGATCTTTGCTGGGGTGGACTGGATATGGATCTAACTTTTGTATTTTCTGAACAACCAGCCACTATCCATCTTGAATTCATGTTCTCACACTTGTTAGCCCAATATTTTACCATTGCATCAGGCAACGGCCCCTAAATTTCTTAGTTTTAATGTATTTCAAAATATTTTATGTAATTTAATATTTCATTTGTTGATATTTTATTATTCCATGATTATACTTGACCCACCATCACCTTTGGATACCTGGAAATTTGGTTCCTGTATTGCATACCAATATAACATTGTGGGGATCAACTAACATTTGATTGTCTACATTCAATTGGTAATGGTTTTATAAACATACAAGGGTGAAATCATCCACATTGGTAGTTGGTACCACTCTTATGAACTGTATGGTTGATCTTGTGATTGATGAGTAGTCGATGCTTTTAGCTGTACTGGTGCTACTGTTGTACAATTGAGTTGGAAGTGTGGAAGAAGAAATAAATTGGAATCATGGTGTTCCTATTCACATACCCAAACAAACATTTAACTTAATGTTGGAGAAATTACAAAGTTTCCCCTGAATGGGTGCCCAAAAAAATTTGGAAGGGGAAGAATGTCCTTGCCCACAATACATAATCTCAACAAATTGCTTATGCTTATCAGCAGAGATAAAGTCAGGGTTCATCATTTTGGGGGGAGAGAGGGGCTTGGTATCACCAAAAATGATAAAAAGAGGAAACTGATTAAGCCTTAATCCACACTTTGATATGTGAACTTGAACTTGGGGGTTTGAGCCTCAAAGATTGGATCTTGAAGCATTTTCTTTGAGTGCCATCTAACACCTTAACATAAGGTTCAGGAACAGAGCCTCATGCATTTTTAAGCACTGGCCATTGCCATCTGATGATGCCTTATTTTCTCCTTTAGTGGATTTTATATACCAGATGCTGCAAAGATATGCTATACATTCTTTTGTAAATCCACTACCTTAATTGCTGACATTAATTTCTTTTCTTCTGTCATTCTGCTACCATGTTCATAACTTTCATGCATTGTCAGGGTTGTGAGAGAGAAGTTGCAGAAGCTAGTGGTGTATCAGAGGAAGGTTTAAATGAGAGCATCATGCGGCTGTCATGGGCCCTTGTTCACTCAAGGCAGCCAGAAGATGTTCAGCGTGGAATAGCGATGCTTGAAGGTGGTATAAATAAAGTCAACTGGATATTTCTTCTCTTTTACATTTCAAAACTTTTTATGCTCTTTCTCTCTCATTTCCTTTACTTATAAGGGTGTGCTATATGTTCTACCTTGTTCTGATTCTGTTGAACTTCTGTATTGAATTAGCAGACTTAATTTGTGTCATCTCTTTTTTATGGCATTATTGGTACGAGGATGAATAAAATCAACTTATTGTTGCAGCTTCCTTGGCCACTACAAAAAACTCTCTGCAAAGGAGAGAAAAGCTTTTTCTTCTAGCAGTGGGGCATTACAGAAGTGGTGATTATATAAGGAGCCGGCAGCTTGTGGAACGATGTTTGGAGGTTTGATCCTTTTCTGCTTTAAATGCTTGAATGGTTTGTTTGACTTTGTTTTATTTACAGTTGCAGTCAGTGTAATCAAAATGTTAACTAATTGCCAACCATTTAGTTTAGGGCCATGTAGACTGCATCATCTAGTCATTCAGTAACTGTGATATTAGAACTATGAGGGAAGCGAGGAGAGGATGAAGGAAACTCGCGTGAAGGAGGTTGTCATCAATGTTAGGGGGGTTGGGAAGATGGGTGAAAGAATGCGAGTGTTGCAGGTGAGCTTGGTAGGCAGAGTTGTTGGAAAGGAAATAGAGGCGAAGAAAATGGAAGCTTGGGAGGTTTAGGAATGGGGAAAGGAGAAAGTCATGGGGGCGAGAAGATTGAACATAGGATTAATGCTGTTCATGTTCCATAGTACACAGTGGGTTTTGGAATCAGAAAGAAGAGAGTTTGATATGAGATTGGACTGGTGGTTCCTGGTGGCCGGAGAGATTTCTGCAGGCAGGAGAAAATATGCGGTTTGGATTGGAGTGGTGGGCATCCCATTACATGGTTGGAGCATTTTAACCTTTGAATAGATTGGTAAGCGCTACAGTAGATTCTTGAAGTTTGATGACAAGAACAGAACATGGGAGAAGCTTGATATGGCAAGAATAATGATTGAAGTGGAGGATACCTCTACAATTCCAAGTAAGATAAACTTTAAGTTTGCAGGGGAATGATATGGTTTGATAATCATAGTTGAAGGAGTAGATGGGACCTTCTTAAAGGTGGAGGATGAAGGCTTGAGTGAAGAAAGGAAGGTAGAAGTTGAAGTGTTTGGTAAGGAGCTGGGTAGAAGGGATTGAGCTGGAGTGGTTTCTAGGTTCATAACAGAAGAGAAGGTGGAAGGAGAAAGGGAGTCAAAGAGAAGCTTGGTAGAAGAAGATGATGAGGTAGCAGATTCGAAGGGCAGAGATGAAAATGTGGATGAGGTTGGGTTGAGTGGATCGCTCAATGGTGGACAAGTGGTGGGTAACGTGGGTGAGCCAATGGAAGCCCAAAAATCGAGTGATTGGGTGGGTGAAGGAGACAAGAAATAGACATTACTAGGTAAGCTTAAAATAAAATTAGGGATGGGGACCACTTCTTCAAGACGTTGAATGAGGAGTTTAAAGAGAGGAACTAGAACAAGTGGTTACAAATGGTGAGGCGTATTTTTTGGAAAATGGAGGCATAGCTCGAAGGGAGTGGGGTTCCATAACGTCAGGGAGAGTTGAAGAAGGGAGGGGAAGTTGAAGGGTGATTGGGTTTGGGTTGTCACAAGATATGAGAATGGCAAGAAGATAGTGGTAACAAAAGGAAGAAAAAGGAATCTGGGTGTGATTCTCTTCGAAAAGAAGATCTGCATCAGTCTAGAAATATAGTGGTAGAAGAGGTTTTGGTGCCACAGCAGCACAGCTGGATCATAGCAATGAACTAAGCCAAGGAAAATGTCCATTGAAGTAGAAAAATTCATCAGTTGGAGTTCAACCACTGAATACCTACACCAATGCTGGGAAGATAGTCTTGAGTAAGTGGAACATTTAGTTGGGGATATAGTCATCACGGATCAGGTGACTACTAAAGTGATGGAGGTTGGCCCAAGAGGATGGCTACCTAGTTAAACTCTTGAGATCCTTCACCTTCTCAAAAGTAAGAGGAGTATTTGAAACAAGAAGAGTATCACTTAGAAGCTGAACAGTGGGATGATCTAAATCGGTAGAAAGGGGGGGAGGTGCAGGTGTAGGGTCTGGTGCTTGCGGGAGAAGACAAGAAAAGAAAAGAAGATCCTTCATAGCCATCGAAGAGGAATTGCCTTGTGAATCAAAGTCATACAAGATAGAAATTGAAGGAGCAGGTAATTTAGCAACACCAACAAAGAAAGAAACATGTTCAAGAAAAACAACATTACGGGAGATATAGATATGTTGGACAGATGGATCATCGCATAAAAATCCCTTATGGTCAGGTCTATAACTCACAAAGGCACACATAGCAGGTTGAGAAAATAATTTGGAGCGCTCACAAGAGGGGAGAAGTACAAGACATAGACAACCAAACACATGAAGAGAAGAAAAATTCGGTGGACAACCAAACAATTTCTTTAAAGGAGAAACATTTGACAGAATCGGAGAAGGAATATAGTTGATCAAGAACATAGTCGTACTAGCTGCCTCCACCCAAAAGGAAGGGGGAGCATGTGACTCCTATAATAAGGTCCTCACCACACTAAGGACATGCCCATTCTTGCGCTCAACCACTCCATTTCGTTGGGGGGTATCTGGACAACTTCATTGAACTTGTATCCCCATTAGTCTTTAAGTAAGATAGGAAGTCTCTATCAGTGTACTCTTCCATTGAATCTGAGCGGAGGATATGTACACAAGATTGAAACTGAACTTGTACCATGGTGTGAAATAACTGAAATGTTGGAAAGACTTCTAATTTGTGCTGAAGAAAATAAATCCATGTGTACCTAGTACAGTCATCAATAAATAATACAAAATACTCATATGCCAATGAGAAGTAATAGAAGAGGTCCAAATATCATTATGTAAATAATAATACTCCTAAGCTCATTTTAGATGTATTAATTTCTTTCTTCTCTTCAATCTTCCAACTATTACCTCACTTTTTCTTGTTTTCTATCTGCTGTTAGTATTCTTTACTAGTTGCAGTTCACAATTTCAGCAATTAATCTTCTGAGATTCTAGTTGGCTTTTTATAACCAATTCATTAGTTGGTTTATTTCAGAATAAGAACTTCCTGTACAATAACATTTTACATCTCATTGTTAGAGTTTTCCTTTTAAAATCTGCAGAAACTTTACTTTTATGTTGTTTATAAAAGTCTTGAATGTACTAGATGGACTTGTTTTTGTAGATTGCAGCAGATTGGAGACAGGCTCTGACCCTGAAGAAGGTGATTGAGGATAAAATCTCTAAAGGTAAATGACAAATACCTATTTATTTCTGATTTTTAGATCTTTCTATAGCATTTCTTGGATGAGAACTAGGACTTGTGTTGAAATGCAGATGGCATAATCGGCATAGGCATTGCTGCAACGGCTGTTGGGCTTTTGGCTGGTGGGATTGCTGCAGCATTGGCCCGTAAGAAGTGACCAAACCTCCTGTGCGCCAGACGTGTCCATAACTACTATAATCTTTGCCTATGCCTAAACGTGCCAAACAGTAAAAATCTTGTTGGTTCAAAAATCCTGTTCTGTATCAGATGGGTTTTGAAATTTCATTTAGCTTTACAATAATGTGTAAAAAATATATAGTTCACATAATGACAGCTAAACCTCTGGTTCTGCAAACGTTTATGGTAGTCGGGTTGGTGGAGATTTCCTTTCTTTGAAGCAACATGAATGGATGTGCTTTGATGGTCAACTCTGGCATCTAATGGTCCATTTGTGTTAATACTTTGCATGTGTAAGATTATGTGAATGGTATAAACAGTTTCAGTGAATGCTTTATGAGAAAATTGTAGAGTATAAAATGCAATCAGCTGGTATGTGAATGGTAGTTGAAATACTCGAAATTGAATCCAAACTGCAGGAAGATTAAGGAAAAAGTAGAAGAGGGAATGGAAGAATGGGCAGCAGCCTTTCTCACCTCTGTCCAGCCTAAATAAGTGTAATTGTAATTAAAAGGACAATATCTACCCCTCATTTGGCGGCAGCAAGGTTCAAAGTATCAGTAGACCCTAATACAGTAAAAGGGGTGTATCGGTACGTTGAGCTACACTGCATCACCCTTTTATAGTTTTTTTGGGCCCTATGGTTTGTGTTTTACTAAAACATCCCCTTTAGTTTGCAATCTATTTACTTAATCGCTCTTCCACTATATGAAAGTGGAAAATGATAGTTTGAACTCTAACATCCATTCAAATAAATTTAATCAAAATAAATTAAAAACAAAAATTCTATTTTTGCTCCTACTAAAACATGGACAACCATTCTATTTTCTCTATTTGGACAATTTTGTTTTGTATACAAAAAAAGTGTTATGGATACTTTTGGAATAAACAATCATGGACTCATATCCTTTAACATTTTCCACTCAGTTTATAGGTATTTTTGGAATAAAAATTCATGGGTTCATGTCCTTGAGCATTCTCCACTTAAATATCATGTCACTATTTTCAGATGGCAAAACAAAGAGCTCTTAATGAAAGGTGATGAATACAGAGGAATGAAGAAGGAAGAGAGAAAGATAGGGAGGCCTAAGATGGGGGTTTGCAACTCTCTCTCTCGCTCCCTTGTCTTCTTGCCACCACCACTGTTGTTGCAACTTGCAACAGTGACGGTTGGGTGATTAATAATATTAAAATAATAATAATTAATAATTATAATTATAATTGTAATTATTATTTTACTAATTATTAATTATTTTAATATTTTTATAGTCATTTATTATTTTTTTAATTTTAATCATTTCATTTATTAATGATTAATTATTAATTATTAATTTATTATTTTCTATTTGTATTGTTTCAATATTATTTTGAGGTTGAAAATTATTTTTATGAGATAATGCAAATTAAACTCAACATTTTCAAATAGTATGTTTTAGGGGTAAAATAGTAAAATCAGTAAATTTCAGATGGTAAAGGGTTGATCCAATACAAACAAATTTATGGATTCAGATTCTCTAAAAGGTAGAAAAGCATCTAGGCCTCTTTTCAGATTTCAAACACTTAATATATTTTTAACTTTTCAGATCTGAATTTTCAGAGTTATCAAATGCCACTTAAGTAAATAGGTTGCAAACTATAAGGGTGTTTTAGTAAAATGCAGACTATAGGGTAGGTTTAAGTAAATTTGTGAAACTATAGGGGGTAATCTAGTAAATGACTTTTTTAGAAATAGGGAAGGGGATAAGTTTAAAGTTTAAACATTGTTAACATAAAAAAACTTATAGTTTTGGGCAAGGTTTTAAAAATCAACCCGGAAATGGAATCGTTCTGGCCACCGGTTTCCGGGTCAGCGGTTCAATCGTCCGGGTCAAATAGTTTGGATGGTTTGAGTATTTTAACAGTGATATGTCATCTTACCCATTAGATTGGAATATTAGGGTAAGATGCACATAAATATAAAGAGAAAATAAAGATGGAATGAGAGGCATTTGAGAAGTTTCAGATGAATGAGTTTAGAAGAAGAAGAAGAAGAAGAAGAAGAAGAAGAAGGAAGAGGAGGGCTTGAAGGCTGCAGCGGCGATGACGGCAGCGACAGCGATGGCGACGGCGATGGTGGCAACAGCAGCAACGATGGTGAAAAATGGGAGTAGCTCTAAGATTTCTCAGTCAGATCTCTCTCTCTCTCTCTCTCTCTTGCAGATCTATCATCTAGAGTCTAAAGTCTAAACTTCTCTCCAGATCTCTAAATGTGAGATCTCTCTCACTCTCTCACACATCTCTTTCAGAGTCTTAGTAGATCTCAGATTTGAGAGATCTCAGATCTGAGCTTCCCTTTTGACAAGTTAATAAACTGCAAACTGTTCTCTGAGTCGAACGGTTCAATGGTCAAACCGTCTGGGTCAACGGTTTGTTGACTAATTCAACGGTTTTTTACCAGAGACCGAATTTGAGGTAAAACTAAAACGAGTGGATTGTAAAACAAACAGTTGAAATTTGTATCATATCAGTTGGATTTACAAGAAGTTTGTCAGTGTGCTGTACTCGTTTCAAGTTCAATGGTTTCCATGTAAAACTAAAGCACTGTCAATCAAGGATGGAGCAGTAATGCATCATCATTCATGGGGATTTATGATCTTGGGCTTGTCATAAAGTACATTCAGCAAGAAACCTTTTGTACAAACAATATGAATCACATGCTAACTGAGTTTCTCCAGGTTCACAAATCACAAGCTAATTCCCCTTTTAATTTTATTATAGACAGACAATTGGATGAGCAAGGTTGTTGACATCATAACATTAAGTTTATCCAGCCAAAAAAAAAAAAAAAAGCATTAAGCTTAGCCTAAGCATTACATTTTTTCTCCAAGAAGAGTTATCAAGAAATCCTTGTAGTCCCCTGATGTGTCGTCAATGACTGCATAGTCAAGGGTAGTTTTGTTCACTTTGAAGTACTCTTCTTTGATCTTCACCATGTCAATTTCAGCCCGAGTTACAATGGCTCTGGTAAGTGAATCTTCGTCAGTTCCAAACCCAACAATGGAAGCTCTCACAACCTGTAAAGCATTAGCCAACCAATGAAGATGGTACCCAGAACAGAGGTCAGGCATACATAAATGAATCACCCATAAGAAGGCAATGCAATCCTCTCAATATGGCCATGTATAGTCACCTCTGCAAAGTGTTTCTCCGGCGAACCAATGCACCAGACAACAATTCGCAAGATGGATTCCAAATTGCCGGTACCACACCTCTTAATGTGCTATCAAGGGAGAATCAAACAGTGCAAATAAATGCTATTAGCACTATATATGAAGAAACATGGCAAAAATGTGCATGCTGAAATGGATGAGTGGAAAAACTAGAAATGAAATCATTAGAGTAGCTCCAATCGGTAATTAAATGAGAGAAAGTAGACTAAGATAGTTTGGTCACGTGCATAAAAGACCTTTGACAACACCCATAAGGAAGAAGTTATCCATTGCAAGTTGAAGGGGCTAGGAGTACCAGTAGACTATGATTTAAGCACTAATAATTTAATGATGAATATGGCATTAAACAGAGTAGAATTGTGAAACAGGATTCATGTTGCTGACCCCATAAAATTGGGATAAGACTTGGATGATGATGATGATGATGATTATGAACTCAACATCTGCATGTAATTGGATTGGAAACCCATACCTCGTCGATGGGGTTCCCATATGTTTCTCTGTAACGCTCAAATGTTGCTCTGAGTTGAAACACATTCCTTGTACTGAGTATCCAAACCAGGTCATCATCATCCAGCTGCTTCCTTTCAATGGCATCCCTAAGCTTAGATGCCTCCGACTTGGCAACAATCTCTTCCACCACTTCTCTATCATATCTGTAGGAGCTTACTAAGCCCACAAGAAGCTGCATAACATAAACTTAAATTAGAAAGTACTGCAACTCGTCCAGCGGTTAAAGTTGGCTGTGATTTGGTCATTTGGGTAGACTCCCCGAGTCGAGTGCGAGTCCCAGTCAACTGAGTTGACTCGGTTCCTCACTGAGACGGGGTTAACCCATAAAACCTGGCCGGTTGGACCAATATTGTGCATTTTTTTGGTTTTGGTTGGGTGAATTGGGATTACCTTTCGTACAGGTGGGGTCACGTTGCTTGTGATGTCTTCCTCTAGGGAGCAATCATAGAGGGAACAGTAGGCTTGCCTCACAGCCATCAGATGATGTGGGGACGCGGCACACGCCATCTCTACGATCACCTTAAGATGATCAACGCCCTTCCGCTTGCTCTTCAGAGCTTCCCTAGCCAAGTTGGCATCCCTTTCAGGAGGGTCCAATGTCCACAGTATCACAGCTTTCTGTCCCCACCAAAAGCTGGAATGTTAATTGTAAATCTCGCAACATGAATTCAACACCGTTGGATCTAGTTCTAGGATGGATTGTTGAGATTTTAAGTTTGAGATAAGTATTTATTTGAATAATTACTTATTTTGGATTGGGACTACACCAATAAACACTTATTTGGGGCTGGAAAATAAAACTGAAATAAGTGCTTATATTTCTGAGAATAAACACTTGTTTAAAAAGCCTAAATTTTAGACTTATTTTTAAGTGTTTATTTCTTTTCTCGCTTATCTTAACCTGTTACATCATTTTGAAAATACCTATATTATCCCTATTTAAAATAAGTGCTTTTTCACTGAAGGCTCGATAAGTGTTTTATTAGAATAAGCAATTGTTTTTAAACAATAATTCAATAATCACTTATTTTTCAAATGAGTGGTGTTAGTTAGATTCAAGCAGATTGATAAAATGTACAGCAGTTAGTCATAATGAAGCTACTCAAAGATATCAGACCAGAGGGGGTCCAGGGAGATATTGACATGACCAAACCGGTCTCTGAACCGGGTGGGTTTCAAAGCTGAACCAAAGCAACCAGAGGTAAGCCGGTTAGATGTCTGCATTCCAATGCTTTACAACTTTACAAGTACCCCCAGACCGTCCACTCAATACCTAAACGGTTAGAATTATCAAACCATTATTGGATTATATGGGCCGTTTGATTGGAATTGGAAGGTCTAGACTGATTGCCATACATTTGCTCATAATATACTCTCATATATCTTCCAGAAGTCTGTTATTTTACTGTGGAAAGAAAAAATTATGGAAAAGAGGAAAATAGGCAGGCAGGCAGCAGATAAGAACGAGAGGAAAAGATTTACTTCTTTCTGGTTTGGAATCGGAATTGAAGAATGAGGGAAAAATAGAAAGAAAATGGGGTGGAGAAAGAACCCGGAAATCGCCGGAGAGCTCTGATTGGAGGCGATCGATGAGAGACTCGTTGTAGAGTTGTTGATAAGTGTCTCTGATCTTCCTCCGTTGGCTCGCAGTCCTGTGACCTAACACCCATATGATCGCCTTCTCGTCCGTTCCCCACCCTGCACTCATCCCATCATCGTCACAAACAGAAACACAGAGAGAGAGAGAGAGAGAGATTACCTTGGAAAGCTTTTCTGAGTCTCTCACTGTCCTGGGTCGGAGAAGGAACTACATCTGGTACTCTCAGCGTACCCATTTTGTTCTTCTTCTGAAGATAGAAAGAAAAAAAGAATGGGGTTTCGCATTCACCGAATGGACAGAGATGAAATTACACAATTGAGGGAAAACAAATTAACTGTTGGATTGGATCACCTGAGCTGCTTTTTCTGCTCTTTTTCAGTTGTTGTCGTCGTTGTTTGTTTGAAGAAGCCTTCCATTATTCTATATATTGCCGAAAAAGAAACGCACGCTATCTGTTGATTTTTACTAACATATCCTTCTCCAATTTTTAAATTTGTGGTTGCTCCCTTTTCTAACCCATTTTGCACCTCTGCCCTTCAATTTGTTTATTTGCATTTACAGCCTTGTATGTTTCATATTTAGTGCTTATTCTCCACTAACTTTTAGTTATTTTCATTCCTACCCCTGATGCAATAAACAAGACTTCATTCTCATTCGTTATGACCATCATGGGGGTTCTCCTAAACAAGGCGCAGAAGGTTTTTGTTAAATAGAATTAAATTATATTAACTCAACATAAGTAATGCCACATAGGAGTTATTTATGTTTATCATTAAATAAGAAAGTAACATAGTAAAAATAATTTCATTAAAAAAAAGTTTGTGTTTGATTTTAGTATAAATTTCATTTGCACTAGTTTAAATAATATATGAGAGTGCAAAAGGGTTGAGTGTAAATTTGGTTTGTTTTTACATTAGATAGACTTTAGCTTATTTGCTTGTGAGAAGCAAAACGAAGTGAATTCCATTTTAATATGAAGAAACTGGAGATAGGAGGGTTCTATCTAGGGATAAGGTAGGATGCAAAATGATGTGCCCCCCACTTCATATGAGAAAGAATTAAGATAGTAAAAAAGTGGTGTAAATTTTATATTAGTTTTTGGGATACAAAATTTGCATTGTCAAGTGCAAAAAAACAAATACAAAAATGTAGAGCACAAAACCTAAGAGAGAATTTTGGAGAGGTGTTAGCAGAAGAATCCTCTGTGGCAGCAGCTGCAGTAGAACTCGAAGCCTGAGAACTCATGGATGAGGACTTCTGCCCAGACGCCTTTTTGGCTTGCAAGCGGCGACACTCCGAAATAGTATGACCAGTCTTCTTGCAGTAATTGCAGAAAGTCCATTTTGAAGATTTAGATGAAGTTGAAGAAGTAGCAGACGTACCCGAAGTAGCAAGAACAACATCAATAGATAATAAGGATCGCTCATCTCTAAGTGTTTTTAGTCGAGTTTCTTCAGAGAGCAAATCTTTGATTACAACTTCAAGGGAAGGCAATGGGCTACGATGGAGTAGAATACCACTAATAGGTTTGTACTCATCCCTGAGACTCATCAGAAGATGCCAAACATGTTGGCGATCGCGAAGCTTAGAATAAGTAGTAGCTGCAGAGGTACTATCCCATTCAGGTTCACACTGTGCTAACTGATCCCAAAGAACTTGTAACTCAGAGACATAACAGTGAATGGTCTGTTCAGGTTGCTGCTTCATACGGTGAAGACGCCTATAGAGCTGAAACTGATGCACATCATCTAAAATAGAATAATGAGCTTGTAAGAAATCTCATACCTCTTTAGGAGAGTCATATCTGCGAAATTCCAACTTGATGCTTGCAATACAAGTATTGCGAAACCAGGTCAATAWTTGATGATTTTTCCCATCCCATCTTTCTACTCGTTCAGCAAACTTATCTTCTGTTTCATCAGCAACTTTAGTAGGTTTGGGAATCTCACCAGTCACATATCGCCATAGAAGGTGGCCCTTGAGAAAACTGCACATCTCTTGGGACCATAAATCATAATTTGAGCCATCGAAAGTAACAATGATGGGATGAGAGATATGTTGAGTAACTTCAAATGAATCCATGAGGAGAAAGACAGATCTTCGGAGCAACACAAATCACGGAAAAAACTAGCTGTGGTGGCTGTGGTGGACGAGTCGGGAAGGTGAAGGATCTATACGCTTGCTCTCTATCCCTCACTAATGCCGCAGGAGAATGCTGTAACTCTCGATCTCCAGAACGGCGAGGCTGAGAACGGAAGCACCAAGACCGTACGTTGTTCAGTTAAAGCGAGCTATAATTGAACTAACTGATGGGTGGTATTCGTTGGATGCCCTCTTGGACGTACCGCTTTCAAAACAGCTTATGTCTGGAAAACTATTTGTTGGACAAAAACTTTGGATCTGGGGAGCAAGTTTATGTGGCTGGTGCATGAATGCAGATGGTGCAGAATTCCGGAAGAGGCGATTCCGAAGAGCGCCGACGACGCCTTACGACTGGCCGGTGATGGCTATCCAAAACCCTGTTGAAGCAAGAAGGAACGAGTCGTCTGTGTTTCGCAAGGGTCTTCCTGCTCCGCCGCCCGATACAGAGGTAAACAGAGAACTGAAGTTCGGATCCTCCATCTTCCAAGTTTGCGACCAGACCGACGACTCCGTCCGGTACAGAGGTAAGCAGAGAACTGAAACTTGGATCCTCCATCTTCCAAGTCTACGACTAGACCGACGACTCCTCTGCTCCGGTTGGCTGCGGAACAGGCTTGGATCCTCTATCCTCCGTCTTCCAAGTCTGCGACCAGACCAACGACTCCTCTGCTCTGGTTGACTGCGGAACACGCTTGATGAAGAGGAGGGAGTAGAAGATATTGAAGATCTAAATTACTCAGTTCCTTACTGGTCCAACGACTTGGATCAGGACGTTGACGAGCAGGAGGCCTATGTTCATATCGGCAATGGAGATAGGCTCTGACACCATGATAGGAACAAGCAAAGAATACAAATGAAAAAAATAATAATTCTTCCTGTTACATTCAACCGATTACAGCCTTTATTTATAAGGAGCTAGAGAGCCAAGGTCGACTACCTAAGTTAGAATACAAAGAAGAAAAGTACAGCCAATTTTGGATAGGACTATCTCTCCTAGAATTAAGGAGAGTAAGTAATTTTGATAGAATACTAACAGTAAAGGTGCTAGTAGGAAGTCAGTTTTACAAAAGTTAAGAAAAAAAAAACTGTCAAAAAGATTTTTTTGGTAGAGACAAATTTTTTATGCTAAAGCTATTAATTTAGGGAAACGTCTAAAATCTCCTATTTATCATGTTTTGGTCTCTAAAGGGTTAGCTGGTGGATTAGCTACTTTTGGAAAGAAAATATTTTGGTGGGCATCCTTTATTCTGTTAATGGGTATATTGTTTGCTCTGTTAATCTTTTCCTTATTCTTGTGCTTGGACTATTTGTTTCATCCATGTTGAACATTATAAAAGACAGAAAGTAGCTTTTTGGAATGAATTTATGGTTAAATTGAATCAATTTCACAATCCTAATGATGCTTGTATTATTGAAAAATATTTTAATTTGGATTTATAGATTTAATAGTGTTTTAATTGGTCATGGCTCTAATGGGTTAACAAATTTTGATTTTGGAATTTGTGGATATTTCATTTATCTCAAATTAATATAAGTGGTGGGGGAAAGACCTTGACGACAAATGGGATTAGGAAGGATAGAAAGGAAACTTGATAGAGTGTTGTTTATGATGAAGGTTTATAATTATTCCACTCTATTAAAGTTCATGTGTTCCCTGGATGGGGTTCTGATCATAAACTTATTTTCTTGATGTTTGAGTCCTAGTGAAACAGCAAGGTTGAAAATTTTGAGGCTTGGCTCCAAGAATCAGAATGTATAATCATTAATCATTTATTAATAATAATGGATGAACAAAATGAAGTTTTAATCTGCAAATTAGGAAAACTGAAAAAAAAAAATTGGATGAGCTAGAAATGTTTTGAAAACAAAAATGTGGTTTTGCTGTGGTGATAGGAATAGATCATATTTTTATAAAGCCACAATGTTTAAAAGGCAAAGAAACAAAATTTCTTAGATAAAAAATGGTTGTCTAAGCATGAGGAGATAGTAGAACTATTTGTTTCATCTTTTTATGATTTATTTCAATCTTTAAGAGATGGAAACTTTGAGGATAACCAAGATCTTTTTCAAACAGCATCTTTGAGGAAGATAATGAAATGTTAACTACTATGCCTTCAATGGAAGAAGTTAAAGAAGTTGTGATGAGTTTTGGATCTCTTAAAGATTTGGGTCCTGATGGTATACTAGCTTTGTTAATTATATCAAAATTTTTGGAGCATATTAGGAAAAGACATTTATGAGTATGTTTATGAGTTTTTCAATTCAAAGAAATTTGTGGGTAGAATAAATCATATTTTTATTACTTAGAACCCAAAAGATCTAAATCCAATGAAAATGAAGGATTATAGGCTTATTAATCTATGTAATGTGCTTTATAAGATCATCACAAAACTTCTTGCTAATATGCTAAAGTTAGTTTTGGATAAATGTATTTTCCCTTACCGAGCTTCTTTTCTCCAAGGTAGACAAATCCAAAATAATATTGTTATAGCCCAAGAGTTTGCATTACATGAGGAATACTAAAGCAAAATGGGGTTTGATTACTTTAAACCCAAAAAATCTAAATCCAGTGAAAGTTGATGTAGGCGCAAGTGGCTTGGACCAATAGCGTGCACATGCGTGGCAGACAACAGTTCCCAGGGTGGACCCAATGAGGACGTGCGCGGAACAGAGGTTGACACATGACATGGAACCAATAGAGAAGCCATACGCGGTAGCCTCAGATGGCCACACTCCTCAAGGCCGGACTGCATCCTGACCATCTGAGCCCACCTACCCCCAGGCGGCCTCAAGTATAAATAGGGGAAAACTCCCTCAAGGTAAACATCTAGACTCTAAGCTATAAGAGCTCTACAGTTTCTCGTGTGACCTCGTCTGAGCACTCCTTGCTCAGGCCTCATCCACCTCCTACTCCCCTTGTACTAACTTGACCGTCGGAGTCTTCGCCTTGGGTTAGCACCCGATGTCTTTGACGTTCTCTCTCTCTTCACAAGTCTGATACCAGCCCTCGACCAAAGCAGACCTCGGACTCATCAACCAACCCTCGACTCAGAAGCAAAATTACCTTGTTGCCTTCAGCCTATTCAAGGCAGCAACAAAAGTGAAGGATTATAGGCTTATTAGTCTATGTAATGTGCTCTATAAGATAATTATAAAACCTCTTGCCAATAAGCTAAAGTTGGTTTTGGATTAATGTATAAAAGGCCTATGATTCTCTTGATTTGGGTCTGCATTTCAAGTGTAAAGTTTTTTATCATCATAAATGGATCCCCTGAAGGT